GCCAGCTGGGGTTAAACCACAACAGTAAGTATGGGTGAAACCCTCCGGAACCCTTCAACTGTCCTGTTCCAGACAAGGAAGACCCGATGAACAAGTCGGAGGTGGTGGTGCAGTTCCCTTGCAGCGACAGGTTTAAGCCCTCTTACGTTCACAGGTAACGTTTCCTGGGGTCGGTAGATTGACAACACGGGTGGGCTGAAACGAGGGGTGCTGCTCACATTGCCACGCAGCGTGTTCCCGCAGCACGGCGGCTGCTCTGAGCAGTGACTGCGGGCTAAGAGAGCCCCCTTTTATTTCTGCAAGTGCACAAAGGTGAGGTACGCGTGGACAGCACCGCTGGCGTCGCATGGTCTGCGACAGTGGCACGCAGGGCTTGTTCTCACATGTAAGCAGCAACTAAAATTAGGTGATTTACCAAAATCAGGATGTTTATGTTCCTGTCATTTTAAGCAATCATCTGCGTGCTATATTCAGTGCTTAAGATGAAATAACACGTGGTTTTTGTCCAAACGAACTACAATGGGCTTGATGTGCTCCCCGTACGTTTCCAAACAGCTTTGGGCTGACCTCAAACTACATAGTGTTTGTTGAAACACCAGTGAAAATCAACCTCTTCAAGTTCCTCTCCTCCTGGAGCCTCTGGGGAGCCAACTACATGGACTGCTTCGAGTCCAACGAAACCATGGGGGTAAGCAGTGGGTCATACCAAACTGGGCTGTACTGGGCAGCCAGTCCTGGACTGGGAAGCCCATCATATCGGTTTCACCTTCATTTCTCTGAGCCTGCACCAAGCAGCTGCTTGCTTTTCAGGTCTGGCTTCACGTGGCAGAGAAAAAGAAAGGCAGGCTCCTCAACATCAAATACCGCACCTCGGCCTTCAACCTTTTCCATCACATTAACACCTACGAAGATAACGGATTTCTGATCGTTGACCTCTGCACCTGGAAGGGGTGAGTCTTGGGGGTGCCGAGCTCGGAGGCGGCCGAGGGGCCCACGGGAGCTGGTGGGGGCCAGCAGAGCCCCAGCACCAGACGCGCCGGTCCCCGCGCTGGCTCGTCCCTTCCCCGTCGAGGTCACTTGCAGCACTCGCATTGACTCCCTCCAACCCGTCTAAATATTCCCATGCGGTGACACACAGACTATACAGCGTGGCAGTTACCCAGAGGCGCGGGGAGCCTGTTTGAAACTCATTTTCCGAGACCTCGTTTGCCTTTTTCTTTAATAAATATTAATGACTACCCAAGGGCTGATGCTATTGCGGCTCCGGGGGCTGCAATGAGCAGGATCTGAGGTTGAACGCTGCTTTTCCTGTTAACACAGAGAAGCGTGGCACCGAAATGGTGATGCCCAACCCGGTGTTGGCTGCGC